GCTAGTTATAAAAAATGTGTAATTTTCTAGTCAGCAACACTTCCCTGTGCCTTGTGATTTTTCTTCCTTTTTGTTACCTATATCCACTTGCAGAAGAAAGTTGAAAAAAATTGGTTCTTTCATAAACAAAGACATGATGAAAAACATGCTGTGAAACAGTAGTTAATTATGGCAACAGCGGTAGATGTGTTCATTTCATCAGTAAATGAGTGAGAGCATCAAGAGTGGTGATATGTCATATAATTAGGCACATTATTTACTATTTTTCATAGCAACTCTATGTTTTTGACTCAAAAGCAATCATTCCGTATTACTGATGAGACTGGCTTGCTCTCTTAGAAAAGTCAGTCATTAACGGTATGTCTTTGCACGGGGCAGATTTCCAATTTGCGAAGCTAAGGTCAGACTTCAGTTCAGCATTTACTGAAATGGAAATTTTGACCCTTTTTTATTAAAAAACAAACAAACTGCTGTTTATTGTTACAAGTGTTAGTAATAGTGTGCTCACTTCTTATCTAACGAAGATTAAGAAAAAAAAAGTCTTTGTAAGTGTACTGACCACATCTGTATTTTTTTTCTTCCAAAATGTTGCTGTTATATCTTAACAAATGGAATGAATTGCTCTTTTATTGCTTAAGTTTCTGTAATAGTTTTTAGAATAAGCAAACTCGGTAATTAGAGCAAATGCTTCCCCATGTAAAGTGAGCGTAGCTCTCACAGCAACTACTGCATTTCCTACCACAAAAAGTAATGCTGTTACTCGTCTCTGCAGACAGCCTGCCCTCTCTAGATGGCAGTTCAGTGTATTTAATATAGTTGGGTGCTAAATCACAACACTGAGTGTTTTAATGGGATTGCAGTGAAAGCAGCACCACTAATGCAACGAGGCAGAGAAAAGGAGTGGTATTTGTGCATTACTTTCCCACAAACAGAGATGGAAGAAAATAAGATTGCTAAATTGCCTCCCGCCCTCGGACATCTGCCCTGCCCATCTCTCTTCTGAGGCTTGCCAGATCTGTTTAGAGTTTCTTTACCACGGAGAAATTGGGAACAGGAGCTGTTTCAGCCACTCCCTTTTAATCGATCAGTGTTGATAAGCGAGCACTGTGATTAGCATACAAACAATCATCAGGGCGGTCTGCTTTGATTAGGTATCCCTTGCCTTGCCAGAGATTTCGAATTGGTATAGACCGGTCCTAAAAATCCTCCTGTTTGATTTTTTTCCCTTCTCCAGCCTTCTGCACGTGGTTTTGGCTTTCCGTTTGAAAATGACTTGATTGCTCTGATAATTTTTCATTATCATTATATGTGTACTCCAGTGGGGTTTTGTCAAAATATTCATAATTACAGTGACTAATTAATATAGCGACAGAAACTAGTATCCCTTGATGAAAGCAGAACCTGTCCATTCTTTTTCCTTCTACCATGCCTGTGCAAGCTCCAAATCAAACCTGGTATGTCATTGGGCAAAGGTGCCATTCAGTGGCTGGTTTAGGTCTGTTAGGGCTACCTAGCTTACGTTAAAACAGGTAGGTCGTAAATGATGCAGTTATTCACACTGTATGTGCCTACTGTTTTCCATCTGCATTGCGAACTTTTATTTCAGGGACTGCTGGAGAACCCAGCTCCTTTTATTTTTTAATGAATATTTGAAATTCATTTTTATCAAGTAGTAGATGCTGTATGCTAGATGAGGCGTGTAGCAAGGAAATGAAATTGTTTGGGGCCTGGCCAGGATGACAGTTTGACAGCAAGGTAGGAGCAGTGGTAGGGCTAACCTAATTTATCTGTACGTCCTGGACTACAGGGTCCAAGGCTCTTTAATGACCCCACAGCAGTGATCCTACAGGGACCCCATAGCTGCTCCTTTTCATTGACCTTCACCCATCTGTTCCAGTGGGCATGTTGGTATTTCGGGGCAATTCTTGTAGGTCACGGAATGCTGGGGAATTTGGCTTTTAAGCAGAAAGGTGTTCTTGCGGTGATTACAATTAGCCAGGCATTATGCAAGACAGAAAAGAGGGTGAAATGTATGACAGCATAACGTCATGAACTATTACTGGAATGTAGCATAGATAGAGGGTCTCATATAGCCACAGGGAGAAGTGTAATGTAGCTCCCAGCTAGTTAATACACCTAAACTACATTTTTGCCAATTCATGTATCTGAGCTAGTTGTGTTAACACCGGCATTGTGATGTTGGACATACTCTAAAACACTCCAATCGATTCCAGCCCCAATCCATATTCCTATCATATAAGTGTAATGGTTCAGAAAGAGCTATTAGGTGCATTAAGTTATTTGGAATTAAAATCAATACGCAGAGTTTGGCTGCATCCTGACAGACCATTGCTATCAATGGCTTTGAAGGAAGCCTTAGTCCTGTTGCAAAGCGAATCGAGATACTGGAGGAAGAGCAAAGTAGCTAACATTTTAAAATTTGTCTAGTCCTAGTAGTGATATAAATACAGAATCCACAGTCTGAATTTGGAAAACAAAAAAAGCATGTTTAACATGCTGTTTATTCACCAGATGGAATGAACTCATGTCTCGTCGAAGATCATGATAAAACTGTCATTGAAAGAAGTGATGCTAAGTCTGTGGGTAAAGACAGGGGCAAGCTGAATTTTTAATGGCTTTCCTCTAACATTGTCTTCAACTTCTAGAATGCAAACTAGGTTTCCGTTGTAGAGCAAGGGACTTTTCTCTTAGTACAACTGTTTTTTTTAGGTTTTTTTGAAAAGCAGAGGATCCAAGAACTGTGCATTTATTGCCAATATTATGACTAAGGCCATTGGCAAAATGGGATACTGAATGAAAATAATACCTTAATTGCACGTGGTTTGAAACCTTCATCTTTGTTTTAATGTTATTAAGGGCTGGAGATTGTACTATGTTTTTCAGCGACTTTTATAACCATTGCTAGTGGGAGTATTTCTGCAATGAGAGAAGTAAATGTTTCAATTAAATTTTGGTCATTGATTCTAATGTGAAGTAATGTACATTGCTGTTCAATTAAAAATAACAAGCTGCTGCGCTACTCCTAGCCAAATACAATCCCCAAAACAGTGGTCAGTAAAGCTGTTGAAGGAATTAAGTATTTGGGTCTGCTTATTTCAGTGAAATCTTTTGGGGTAAGAAATACCAAATAGCTAATAATTACAAGTGGGCGGTTATTCTTTTATGAGTTGAGAAAAAGTAATTATGAAGATAAGAAGACCAGACAAAAGCATCCTGTGACTGAAAATATTTTTATGGTTTCTAAGTCCAAGTCGGGCTTGGTATCGCTTCTTTTAAGTTCTAACTGCTCTGCTTGGTCATCCAGTAGCCACTGGAAAGGGACTGAGAGATCCCTTTTTAGTAATTAGACTGAATTTCACTTCTGTGAGCAATTTCTTAGCATTTGTAAGTAATAGAAGTTCTTGAGTCTCCCAGCACATCTTCGTGTGTCTACAGAGCTGTGCTTAGTCATCGTGAGTCATTTAATGTTCATTGCTCCTAAATGGACAGTCTCACTCACAACTGAGCTTCATTTCTTGCTTTGTTTTTTCCACCTCTCGCTTCTGACTTTTGCTAGGGAAGAAATAATGAACATAGAGTTCCAGTTAATGAATACAGACTGTCAATTAAAGCAATACATCAGAGCGCATTCAGAAATTACTTATGAGTCATTTTCACATGCTTTATGAGTTCTAACTACCCCTAAAATAACCTAATTTTGAAACCATCCTCCAAACATAGTAAAAGCACATAAGGCCATCCATCTGAGGTTTGAGCTAAGCCCCGATGGCTGCAGTAAATCCCAGCAGAGACTGATTTCTCTGATCTGTATAGACAATAGATCTGTACTCACTAACTTAATTTGTGTACAGCCTCCCAGCTAGGAAGTTCATCTCACCATAGTAAGGGCAAAAGAGGATTGAGATGAGTTGGAGAATGATCTCCAACAGTTTATTCTGCTTTAGCTTTTTCATTTCTAAAGAATGTACTGGCTCTTTTTTCCATCATTTTTTACCGCCAGAAAAAGCATCCGACTCCTCTAAGTAAGTGGGTAGAACAGATGTGTATTGTGGCTCGGCCCCCAAGAAGGGAGATGTATACTTTTAGAACTCAGTCATAACACATTTCATCCTCTTACACTAGATCAGGAGATGCTGCTTTTTTCTTTAAGAATTTTACAGCTATAATGAATTAATGGACAAAAGAGTTCGTATTTGAAATCTGATGGCACTTTACCTTAGTAAATCTTGTCTCTAGCATTCCTGGTCCACTTAGTTGTTTGGTTTTTTTTTTGCTTTGTCTGCAGACTAAGGAGAGTACAGTGCCACTACAGTCCAGTTGCTCACTCTTTCGGTGGCAGCATTAATTCATGCAGCTATTCCCATGACTATTAATTCAGGCATTTAAGAACAACCCTTTCTTATTCCAAGTCCTCTCTCCTACTCTTCTTCATTCTTAATTGTGGCACACTAAGAAAGTAAGAATGTTGTTATAAGTGACAAAGTCACCTGTGGAGATATGACTAGAGCTTTGGCCACAAGTGCTAGGGGGAGTATAAACCCTTTCCTCCTGTATGCTTGTGAGTAACAAAGGGGGGGGGAGGGAGGGGGAATGGGCACAGAGAGAAAAAACCTTAAGTGTAGCCTATCTACTAGTCCAAGTAGTGTTTTATTTTTTGCAAGATATAGAGTAATGGAAGAACAAGGGTAAGAAAAAAGAGTAAGGAGCTGGGGAAGGGGAGAAAAGGAAATAGAACTTAGCCATAACCGTCTCTTTGTGGAGCAGTATCAGAAAGATAACTTCTTAAACAGTAGAGAAAAAGAAAAACAGAATCATGTTCTTTGGTAACCTGATATCTTAAGTCAAACCCTTTGCTATCTATCTTCTTGATGAGCATTCACCCATGATCTTCATAGAAATTCAAGTCTCCTGCCTGATTCTCCCCAAGCTAAAACAAACATGCCTAGAGATAAAAAGCAGCTAGTCTAGTGCATAGTAAGATGCATAATGTAGTAGAAGGACAAGAGAAATACTGGAGAGAGAATGTATGTTGATGTAGCTTGGTGATTTTCCTCTGTTTTTATTCCTTATGGCACAAATTAATAGTCAATTTGCCAGATACAGTGTTTACCCAGTTGGTGGGAAGCAGAAGTATGGCAGAATTTTTCGTATTTATGGACAGACATGAGCATACGTCTGTCATGCTGAGCATAAGTGCAGACAGAAGGGATTGCTGAAAAGCAGCTATGTTGTAATGTCACAAGATTTACTTTTCAAGTGTCATAAATTAGAGTTTCTTTTACTAGGAGTTTCAAGTAGTTATACTGAAATAAAAGCCAAAAATATCATTTTACAAGGTAGCAGAGCATACTCATTTAGTGGAAAGTGTTGTATGTAATTTTAATACTTCTTCCTTTAAGAAAAAAAGGCACCTCAGTGGGTGAGCCCTTGTTTCACTAACAAAGTCACTCCATTTGTTCTCTGTTTAGGAAGAGCCCTTTGTCATGGTGTCCGAGAACGTTCTAGGAAAACCAAAGAAGTATCAAGGCTTCTCAATAGATGTCCTGGAAGCTTTGGCCAATTACCTTGGCTTTAAGTATGAAATTTATGTTGCTCCAGATCACAAGTATGGGAGTCCTCAGGATGATGGGTCATGGAATGGACTAATAGGAGAACTAGTATTTAAGGTAAGGTTTTTAATGCATTTAATGATGTCACTTAAATCAGAATGTATTAGTTAGTTTTCATTACCTGGTAACCTTAATTAATGAATCCTTGGTTAAATTTGCTAATTACTTGTGATAACAGCATCTGTTAGTGCATCAGGCAATAAAGAAAGGCCTACATTGGTGGCAGCAGGCTGTATTTTTTTCCTCTAAGTAGAGTAGTATGAAATCTGAATACAGCCAAGAAATGGGGTGCACAGCTCCCTAATTCACATGGCAAGACCTGCCACAGATGAGCAGAGGAGGTTGTTCTAAGGAGAGTTTACATTGCAATTAGCAATACATTACATAAATATTAATTAGCACTTAGAAAACCATTGAATACAAATGCAAGACCTTTTTGCACCATAGTTTACATAGATCTAGGAATCAGAAGTAATGTTTTTAATCTTGTTAATTATTCATTGAGTTGGAAGTCAAGCCCGGGCCAGGATTCTACACTCTCCAGCTTTCTTTGACAGTCCAGCAGAGGATAACTAGTGGGAATAAAAGTGATATGTTAAACTCCACTGGAGTTTGCCCAGATACACCCTTTCTCTGGGAACCTTCTCCAAACATGGCACATCAACATCCTGCTGATCTTTGCAGCATCTTGGACATGCCCCTGCTAAGGAGGAAAGGCAGACCTCACCCAGTATTAGTTTTCACATGGCAGCCTCCCTACCTGAAGCACACATAAGCAGCTGCTACTAGACATCACCGAGCTTCAATCAGACCAGAGATGGAGCCTGCAAGCTTTGAGTGCCTCACAATGAAGATATCACCAAGTTAGACGGGTACTTAAAGAAGCAGAGCTCAAACCCTTCCTCAGACCAGATATGCATGTTCTCCCAGCCCACCCAGGGAGAAATTCCTACATCCTTCTAGCTCATCAGGCCCAGAAAAGAGCTAGGCTCTCCTTAGCAACCAGGAAGGAGCACCACTCTGCAAGGAAGACTTGACAAGCCCAGCAGCATCACTCCAGATGAGTTCCTCCATCTCTGGAGGGCTCCTCCATATATTACCACTCAGGAGGAACCTCCCCCTAACAGGTTCTTCCCTCACACCCCCAAGAAAGGGTGCAAATAAAGGGCCACTCACAAGTACAACCAAACCTACCCTCCCACCCCCCAAAAAATCTCTGAGATAGTGCAGTCCCCAGCAGCCAAAAAAATCCAAACAACCAGAATCCTACCCGAACAGTAGCACTGTACCACTTCCTCAGTCCCACTACAAAAGCAAATCACATCCTTCAAGTAACACAAAACCACCACAAGAGCCTCTGCATCCTTCAGCACATCTCCCAAAAAAGACAGATTAAGATAGGGCTGGTCACCTTCCTCTGCAACACAAACCACACCAAAGCCTGAAATTAAAAATGAAACATCTTTGGGCACCACTACCCTGAACACCAGCAAGGAAAAACTGCCAGAGCCCCACATTTCAACACTCACTGTAGTAAAGAGACCAACACCATCCCAAGAACAGCACAGACAAAGGACACAATGATGCAGGCAGCTCCAGCATCCAGTACTCTGTACTCCAATTCCTACCAAACAACCAAAAGTTTCATTAGATCCTGCAAGAGGAGATGAAAATTACAAGTAGTAAAGTTAATTGTGTGCATCACTAACATCTTAGCTGACCTTTATATTGCTTCTCAGGCCCAGCAGGAGGGCTCGGGAGGCAGTCACCCCTGCTACTACAAGCAGGAGGAGCTGCAGCGTTCACTATTAGTGTACTCCAAGCTCAGAGGCACTCACATGCCTGGATTCACAGTCCCAGAGCTGCTTGTGTTCATCCTTGTTTAAAGAGAACCTGCAACCAAAGCCAAGAGTTGAAACGGTATACATCATGCTTTTTTTTTCCCTTAAACCCTGAAATTTCCTTGTGCTCCTTTTTACTCGACCAGGGCTGGGAGAAATAGCCCTAGTCACTGGAAGCAGGAGAGGCTGCACCCCAGAGTTGTCCTTGGACTCAAGAAGCCAAGCAGCTGCCCTGAGCCAGCCCCATCTAATAAAAAAAATCAGTGGTATCCCAGCAATGCCCCCCCCAGAAAAAAGCAGGGTGGGAGTCTATCAGCTTCTTACAGATAGGTAGCCCCCACCCTGCACTCACCTCCTCCAGCAGTCCCATTGCTGCCAGAATTCTTCCATACTTTAGAAGAATCTTTGCTCTACAAGGCTCATCAGCAGCTCTCCCTCATCCAGGTAGATAAGACAAATAAGACAAAAAAAAAAAAAAAACATTACACAAGTCTCAAATATTGCTTTTACCTTAGCAGTATTGCTGCTTTCCACCCCCACCAGCAATAGGGCAGCAGGGACATAGCCACCTCCTGCTCACACCCATCACGCACACAAAGCCCCCTTCAGGACCAAGGTCACAACAGGGCTGTGCTTGGCCTTCTAGAGTTGAGCAGTGGCCCTTTACCTGAAAATAGCTGCGTGGCCACCTAGCTGTTCCAGTATGCAGGGGAAGCACCAGGAAGAGCACAGTAGGAGCCCAGCAGCCCTCTGTTAAAGAGAAAGAACCCACAGTGCCTCCCTGGCACTCACCACCTCCACAGTCCCATTTAGCTCCACAGCTAAAACTGCTGATATGAATCTCCACTGCAGCTCTCACTAAACCTGAAATAGAAGACAAAAAGCAGAAATAAAGAACACAGACCTCAGGCTACTTTCTTTACTGTTTATGAAGCCATTTGTGCTTGGCTCTCCTAAGCAAGAAAAGGGGGGGGGAGGGGAAGAGTGACAGCTCAGCAGCAGCACCATGATGACCCTCAAAATGCAGGGGAAGCTAAGCAGTGGCTCTGGAGCAGCACCAAAATAAGCAGGGTCAGAGCCAAGGGCCTCTCATCCCAAGAAGGGGGTCCTCAACCCTGCAGTAACCACCTGCAAGGCAGCATTGCTCCCAAAACTAATAAGAGTAAGGCAGACCTCAGTACCAGAGGCCCCAGAGCTGCTCTCAAATGGCTCAGCTGCACATGGGCAGCCCATGATGCAAGAAGGTCTGCACTACTGGGCCTCCAGTACTTGGTGCATCCAAGTGTGGTACTAGCACCACACTAATTTTTTACAGGTTTGAGCTAATCCTTGCTTTAACAGGCTCCACTGCAGTACTCATCCTACAATAAGAAAAAAAAAAAAGA